TTTAAAATGAATCATTTCCGTAACAAGTAACCTGCGTACATGTTACGGTGTTGTAACTTCAGGTCCAGTAATTGGAACCTAGAACTTGCTTGAGACTACGATATTCTATTTATAATACCATAAGTTAAGCTGTATAGTTCAGTTCTCAAACTGTGTTTCGCGGAAGTGAGCTACATTTTTTTTCTCTATTACTACCGATCCTTCTAATATTATAAATATGAAAGTTTGTAAAGATGTTCGTACTTATATGATAAGATATCTGGACAGTTGTTACTTAATCACGTTAAAACGGCTAAACAGATTTGAATAAAATTTCGAACATGATTAACCAAATTTAACACATAGTATATAATACTCTATTTATTGATTCGTACAGGTGAAGCAACGCAAATGAAGGAAGTTTTAATAAGTCTGTAAGAAAAAAAGCGCATATACTGTTTTGTATATCACTTAATAATATTTGCTTCAGAGCAAAATGTACTTGGAAGCAAAAATTGTCTTGTACATTGTGTGAATGTGGATTTTCGACATTTTTAATTCGAATCAAAAGCTGTTGTTTAAAAAGCCACGCTAGAGGCTTTCGTATATAACGAAGGTTGCGTAGTATATCTTGATACCAGAAAATGACATCCTCACACTAGTAAAGGTAATAGTAATTAGTCATATATATATAAATTTTATGCAGAGCATATATAACAGTTATATATGCTGGTAGTTTTTTTCTTTTATTATTCTAAAAACAACATAATACTTGCTCAAATACATAATGCAGATGCATCCTTTGCCAAGTAGGTAGTGCGTGCGTAGCATCACAGCGATCACGATTGAAATTGGAATAAGTTCCCTTATTCTAATTTCAATTGTCGTTTATTTTGCATATTAACATGGGCACAGATCCCACAATAAATTGTATAGTTTTTAATAATAACTGGATTGACTTCCGTATATTTTTTGTCGAGAACACTCGACTAATTTCAAATCTTGTGATAGATCGTCAGATAGTCCCATATTTCAGACATTAAATAAATTTACATAAGTAATATATACGGATATTATTTATGGAATAAAATATCCAAGTTAATAATAATAAATCACTTTAAATGTCCACTGCTGAACTTAGGCCTTCACCATAAAGAAGGGTTTTCCAGTAGTTTCCACGTTTGGCAGAAGGGTTGGCAACCACAGTTAGTCTTTGGTAATGTATTAAGATAAACGAACGGACGGAGTTACGACGCACATGGGGTAGAAAGGGTTGGTCCAATCTATGCTGGGACCACACGGTGAATAATAAATAAATTAAATAAAAAAGAAATTACAAAGTCCTGCCTAGCTCCAAACTAAACAAAACTTGTCATACGGATACTAGATAACCGATAGAATATTTCAATATATACCTAGCAAATTATTACTGTTAGATCCAATTTGAAAATTTAAACAAGTTTTTAATTATTTTTGTTGATGATTCGGACAACTAATTGCCAGTGCTCGAAGCCGGAGGGAGATTGAAACATCAAACACCTGTCAAAGGTTTTAAATAGTCCCGAGAAATATTTATCAATTTATTTAGGACAAAGTTCTTCGAGTTTACTAAAATGTAGTGATAGTAATTTAAATGTTAGAAAGTAGCATTATTGAAGTCTTTTTTTTTAATCAAAATCCTGCTTCTTATTTTTTAAGATGATAAGGTATAATATAATAAAAGAATGAGAGAGAATAATATTAGAGAGTTTGAGATAATAATAAGGATAAGGACAGAAAGACGATAAGTAATAAAAGTTTTCTTTTAACTCTTCTTCAAATAATAAATTAATATGAAATTGTTATATATTTTTTTCAAAATTATTAGATTTTTGCATTTATTTATAAGTCAAATAATAATAATAATAAATATTTTATTTATTTTTATTTTTATTTAATAGTTTATTGTACACATTAGTTATAAATATAACAGAGGTAAACAAAAGTACAAAGGCGAGCTTAACTCTGATAGAGTTTTCTTCCAGCAAACCCAAAGTGGAAAGGAGCATCAACGTCAGCGAATACAGCAGTGTATAATTTTTAAACAGCCAACACTTATATATACTTTTAATTTCAGGTTTACACAAATAATAATATATTATGAGTATATACTTATAATTACATAATTATAACTTTTACATTATACAAACATAAAATATCAGTTAAAGAATTTTATTATCAATTCCTTGGTCATCAAGTACACAGTATGGAATCCTGTTTTAACAATAGGATTATTTTCATTAATTTTTCATGAAATTTTACTTTACATTTACTAATTAATTTTTTTTCCTATATCTACTTAATGTTAACGGAAATATGAAACTAAAAACTATTTTACATTAAACGCCGTTTATTAATACGAAGCAGGTACTTAACGAGTTGGAACCAATTAGTAACCCTACCATCAAGAATGGTGAATTTAAAACAATAAAGCCGGTCAAATGCGAGTCAGACTCGCGCAACGAGGGTTCCGTACAAAATCATTAAGTTTAATTTTTTTGTGAAATAACTACAAATTTACGGTTTTCGGATTTTCCTTCTTTACTTATGCTAGAAGATATTGCTTCTTGCGAAATTTTATGACTCTAGAACAATGGGAATTATCCTATAGGTTTTGAGTCCCTTTGCGAGTGTCAAAATATGCGATATAAATGGAACATAAACATCTGATTGCGTCGATTTAAAAGCTTGATTTATTCACTGTTTTAAGAGATTGAAGATCTCAGTATATGATATTAATTTTCACTTAACGCGTTCCTAAGAAAAAGGTTCTTAACAGACAGACAGACGGACAACGTAGTGATCCTATAATGGTTCCATTTTTTTCTTTGAAGGTACGGAACACTAAAAAATGGTTAAAAATTTATTTTTGAGGTCTTTTGATATATATATATATATATATATATATATATAAAAAGTTAATTTTTATTAAATATTATATTGTAATATATTTTTATATAAAAATCCCGTGAAAATTCTTTTAATTGATAAAAACGGAATGGTGTACCTGTATTGTCTATCTATAAATGGAATGGTTTATGTTAATGGTGTATAATGGCGGGGCATCATTGAAAGATGATAAGGATGCTTTTAGCGGTAAATCCGCGGTCCAGGGAAAACCGCGTGGAGGTCGACCTGACATGGTACAGTATTAGCGATGGTGACTAGCGTTCCCACTATTAACAATACTTATCTCTCCGTATCGCAATGCTCGTTTACGCAATTAGATTAAATTAAAATAGACTTTAATTGTGGTAAATCCAATTATTTTGATTTAAAATAGAACCAATTTAAAAAAAAAAATCTATGGGACCAATTTGTAAATATATCCTTTCAGATAAAAAAGAATTTTCTAAATCAGTTTACAACTGACGGAGTTATGAGGTAACAAATATAAAAACAAATATAAAAGAATTAAGAAGTTTTTGAAGTTGGTTGATAATTGTAACTAGACGATGTCTGTACATGAGAGATATTAAAAAAAAAATAATATGAGAGATTTCAATAATACTAATTCATAACGCCAAAACAATACAACAGAAATTTTGTCTGTCTTTCTGTATGTTTATTCTGGCATCATGCAAAAACATTTAGATGTGGTTTTCACAATTGGGCACCTGAACATTTAACTTAAAAACTAGTTAATGCTTTTTGACACGTCATCTAGAACTCTGGTCTATTTCATTAGTTTTTCTACTTCCGAAATCAAGGCGTACAGAGCAGTGGGCAAAAAGCTAGTATAAAATAGAAAAATTAGAAGATGAAATAAAGTGTTAAACCGCTACACCATCAAGGTTGTCTTTATTTTAAATAGACATTTATCGACATTTTTCAAAGACAAACGTCATATTTTATTATTCTGTCATTGTTGAATAATCTCTAAATTATATGGACAACCCTATCATTATGTAGGAACAGATTGACACGTAATTATTTATTTCGTAGACCTATTGATATTAAAATAAAACTAAACTCAATAGAGAAAATAGTTGGCGGCTTTCTAAAGCCGTGTATTCACAAGACAACAATTGCGGTGCAACCGCAACAGTTCACGGTCAATTGTTGCATATAAACGTACGTTGTTGTTAGATACAGAGCAAAATCTAGCAGAAAGAGACTTTGTACAAAAGTTGTCTGCTTGGGTATGTGTGTCCCACTTACGTTACTACAGTAAAGTTGCTGTTTGCATGCCTATGTTTCGGTTGGAAAAGTGGGATATATTAGTAGTATTAGTAGGCATTTATAAAGGTCAAAGTGAAAGACAACAAAGGTGTCGCAGTGTTTTTATTTTTTATAAAACTTAGAATGGCAAACAAGCTGACGGCCCACCTGATGGAAAGTGGTAACCGTCGCATATAGACATGAGCAGTACCATGGACATAACAGAGTATACTGTTTCGCCTATGATACCCCCCATGCGTTGCCCTTCCTGAGGACTCAGTTGTTATTCCTCCGTACCCAGTAAATTCACGCCATATCCCATCCTTCAAACCGAAATAGCCATGCAAACACAACTGCTTTACGATTGAAACACAAATGGGACAGAGGCACCCAAGTAATCGACTTTTGTACAAAGTCCCTATGGTATATTCTATGATATCCATCGAGCTATTAAGATTTATAGGCGACGGTTACCACAATCCAGACAGGCTGTCAGCTTGTTTGCCATTCCATTTGCATAAAAAACATGAAACAGGTAGACACTGTTGCATCTCAATTGTCGTCTAGTAATATGTGTAATATTCTGTGACATGGTTTTATACCTGAGGCAGAATTACAACTCAGTTACTAATAATTCTCGTTAAAAACAGTTTTGTAATTAAGGATATAGTATTTAACAGTTTAAGTAACTGAAACTGTCAGCTTGAGTCTATTTCAAACAAGAAGTGTCAATAAATTACTGACATAATATAGCCGCTGGTAACCTGGTTTAATTTTGCCATAAATAGTTTGAAAATTTTACAATTATGCTGTATACTTACGAGTGGTCCTTGAGTATTACTTCTAACCGTCCCGAATGTGTGTTCCAGACGAACACAGCGCCATCTGCTGATCCCACTGCAAGCAACCGTCCACCTGGACCGAATGCTGCACGGGACCAATCGCACCCGACTTTGAACGATTCGTGGCTGGAAACAGAATATAATTATCATTAGAACAGAGTCGTAAAAGTATTATAAGTATTAGTAAGTACATAAAGTACCTTAATTGTAAGTTAGGATCTAACATATCTGTGTAACAAATTTCATTCAAATTCATTCGGTAGTTTTTGCATTAAAAAGTAACAAACATCCATCTACACTAATAAACTTTCGCATTTATATTATTAATAGGTATATTTTCACGACGCACTTCTGAATTTATAAAATTAGTAATGATTATAAATTGCTGCTCATGTAGTAATACGACATTGTTTCTATGACTGATAATTTTGATTTTCTGGGTTCGATGCTCTGATAAAGCAATATCAAATAACTTTTAGAGTTTATGACCAATTGGTATTGGCAAAGCTATGATGATTTGCCAGTTTACCCGCCATTGTATACTTGATTTCAATGATACCACTTCACAGCATGAGGACATTAGGCGGCACAAAAAGTAAAGTGACAGTCCGTTTAGGAATGTCACTTTTTACTTACACTAAGACTATAATTACGCGGAAACGGAAAACGAAAGTGGCGAGACCTGGCACGACAATATATCGTTATTTACAACTTAAAGTAAATTGTGAAGATTTGTGCTATCAACTCAATGGGACAGACAGTCATAAACATGTTTGGTTAATGTTACCTGAAAGAGCGGACTATCGTGTTCATCCGCAAGTCTATTAGTTGTATTGTGTCGTCTCGCACGCACGCCAGTAAATAGTTACTATCTGTAAAAAAAAAAGTTTAGTATACATGGTGTTTCATAATGGATTGCAAACACTTGATAATGCGATTTATGTACACGTCAGAAAAGTCCATTATGCAAATTTTATAAGTATATAATTTTATGTCTATGTACACTTGCGGTGTCCAAATATGTCGCATATCATCAAAGATTTTAAGAAGTCATCGACCTTTATTAAGTGCAATGAATATCGATTTACTGGTACAGGCTGCTGAAAAATGTTTTAATATTATTCACTAAATGTATTACCCGTTTTCGAAAGAAAGGAGTTTTTTATTCGACTGTATATAATTGACAATTATTTAATCAACTATGACGATAATATTTCAAATCTAACAAAAACAAAAAAGAAATAATTTAAGTTATTTTATTTTCTTAGTATCAGTTATTTTTTCGAAATCTTAAATAATTATTTATATTTTATTATTATTATATTAGTCGTTACTGTTCACTCCTGAACATAGATTTTCCCCATAAGGGGAATTTTACCAATAGTTGCCACGCTTGGCGGGCGGATTTACAACTGTAGTTAATCTTTGAAGATGTTTTAAGAGAGGCGCTGTTGCCTTTCCCTTGAGTATTTAGTTCCTTTAAACACCTCTTACGACATCTACGGGACAGGAAGGGGTGGCTTATTCTATATCGGGACCACACGGCGGTTAAATTTTTATTTATATACCTACATATAAATCTTTTTATGTTTAAACTGAATACCAAAACATATGTATATATTTTTTTTCATATTGAGCAACTTTGTATTTTTAAACATCATATATATTCCCATTAGTAAATATTTAAAAACGGACGTGCAATCCATTAAAATCTCATATAAATTCGACAATGTCTGAATATGAGAAGAAAGCAGTAACTTTACCGTTCACGTATTGGACAGTTCACTTTCTTAAAGACTTTATTACCATTTCATAGTCATGTCAGGTGTTGGAATTGTATTAAACAACTGGTCAAGAGCGTGTCGGACAGTAATAGGAACTATTGTGTTTTACGATATATATATATATATATATATATTTTATCATACTTGTAAAAAAAAATAGCGATTATTATACTAACTAGTTAGTAATTTAGCAGTTTAAATCTGTAAACAGAGACAGATAATTAAATGTAAATGATAATACTGGTTTTTTTATAGTAGCCTATTTTTTCGTTATCATGTAGCTTACAAAACTCTCGTGGCGAGAACGGTTTATAAGTAACGTGGTTAGGGCCATATTGCTAGCGATATTTTGTTATCTCGATCTGCGCGTGGTTCTCTCTAGAAATCATCGTCTCATTAATTTCTGATGCATTAGCCACTATGGGTCAACTAACCTGGTTTTATCCTCATCAATTATTCTTAATAGTTGCCACGTCAGCGTACACTGATAGTACAGCAGGAACCATCGTTCTATTATCATATATATATATATATATATATATATATAAAATATTCTTTCAAAAAAGTACAAAGAGTTGTTCAAAAAGCATGTATTAACGTTTTATCAGGATCGGAAACGCGCACGTGACACCTCTAACATTTACCATCGTTTACCATCAGACGGGCTGTATGCTTGTTTACAACCTTTATGGTATAAAAAAACTGCAATTAAGATCATTGTTTTAACATTCTATTCAATAAGCTGTTTAGGCCTTGTGCGAAAGATACTTTCGAAAAACATTATCCTCTTTTTTTGTAAGTCAGATAAAAACTCAAATAAAACCAATCCATCATGTAAACTGGACTCGTCAGAGAGCTGTATCATTAATTTCTTTAAACCATTACCCATTTGCTTGTGTAAGTCGGATTCGTATCACGTCGCGGTGATGTTCAATCGCATCGTATTCGGCGACGTACGGCTGCGATGGCGGCGTGTTCATCGCGGCCTATAGATGCTTCCCAGAGCAAATAGATGGTCGATAGCATTGATGGATCTGGACCGACCGTGAACGCTAACTGTGAACCGTCTCCCTATTCATTTGTCCATCGATCCGCGGCGACGAAATCGACGTGATTTAATCAGTTTCGTACGTAGTGACGTACCGACACACCGATCGATTGAAGGTATCAATCTTAACGTTTCGTGAGCAACCGTTATTGACAAAAAAAAGGGTTCGCCGAGAGGCGCGTAACGGAAATAAGCGGCGGGCGACTCGTCACGTTGTTATGTCGACTCGAACATCGATATTATATGCTAAGTATTCAATTAACTGCTAATATTGATCTCCTTTCTACTGAAATTATCGCCGTTTACGACGTAACTGCTTATTTATATTGATATATTAAAACTAACGTTTAAGTACCACCAGGAAAGATTATCTAATACTTGATTACATCCCTGTGGTCCTAACAAAGCTGCTATAAAATTGTAATTAAGTTGCTTTTAAATTGATTGTCACTACTTTGTTGTTAAGTGGTATGGACATTTTATGTAACAATTTATTAGAGTTAAATTCTTATATATAGTGAGGGGATTGAACTCGAAGAACAGAAAAGTACGGCGTGTGATGGCATGGCTTGCATAATACTAATCAAAGTAGTTTTATTCTTATGACATATTTTGGTGCGTTCATATGGAAAATATGAATAAGTCAGTTAATCAGATCTCATCATGTTAAGATGCATTATGACATGGACAGCAATCAGTAAGCCGTATTTCGTAGTGTAAATAAGATGATTAACATCTGGAATGTCATTGTTGAGCGCACTCATTAATATCACTTCGTAGGTGCCAGTATGCCTAGTGTTTAAAAAAAAGTGATGCGTATGTTATTTTTGTTATTTGCATATGTAGTAAGACATATAATTAATCTACTGATTTGAACATTATCTTGTAGGTTCGATGCTTAGTCTGAGATACGCACATAGCTTAGTTGCAATTGTTTAACATTTGTCAAAATCAGTCTTGGAAATTAAATGGAAGTAGCTTTTTTTGCGGAGCAATAATGTATGCTACTCGTATGACGAAACTCTCTAAGTTGTGATCTTGAGTGCTTCTGCTTTATGAAACCTTTGCTTAACTGTTGATGCGACTTGTTGTCATTAGAATCCTCGGACTGCTAACCGTCTTTTGAAGACTATGACAATGGTTTCTGACTATAACCATTATAGCCATTCCACTGATTCGCACTTATCTCGCATAATGGATTTCGGCAGTGATTATACAAGGGATTTTCAATTTAATGAAGTCTGAAAAGTTTCAAAATGCCTCGTTCCACACTTAATTATGGATATATTTAATCTTGCATCTTAAGCTAAAGGATATGGGTTTGAGTTTTATTTATTTAATATTTTTTCATTACATAAATTTAAATAAAATCTTTAAAATCGGATCAAAATGAACGGAAGTATCTATATCCAAAAATCAAAACCGATATGAGGACCTTTCTCTTTTTGAAATCTTTTAAAATTAATATAAACAGGAAAAGTAGGTTATGTATTTAAACTGAATGGAAATAAGATATAACATGATAACCCTACTGCGTTCAAGAGTATGACGTTGAATTTCTAAAGGCTTTACCTCTATTAAGATCCAGTGAAGTGACTTTGCCCTGCAGCATTATATGGTTGCCTGACATTTCTGTACGGATGTCCCAGAACCGTATCGTCTTGTCGAAATGCCCGGAGATTATCGTGGAGCCGGCGCCGTCTGACGTCACGAGGTCATTGCATGACGACCCTACGAACTTTGTTTCTGTACCTGTTGATTAGAATAATAATGATTTTATTGCTATAACCACATATCACACTAAATACGGTTTGACAAAGACAGTTATATTTATAGAAACGCTCTGGACCACACATGATATATTAAACATTTTATAACATTCGTTATATCTTTATATTGCCATACATAAAACATTGGCTTACTTTTTTTAATAGAAGACGTCACGATATCTAATATGTGACGTCTTCTATTAAGTGTAGTGATATTCATATTAGTCTGCGTAATGTGAATCTGGGTTCGATTCTCGGTTGCTTCAATTTAGCAAACTAAACTTTCAAAATTTGTTCAAGTCTAAATGTTGTAGCTTATATCCTTGTTTAATACAGAATAATTAAAAAGCTCATGATCGTAATTTTTCATTATTTGTTGACCAGGTTCTCCCTGTGGTAAACGTACCTAACACTTGATTCACGGAGCATATTTGAATCCAATTTAGGAAAAAACTAACATACTGTCCAGCTTTTGGAGTAGTTCAGGATGTTTTTTATTACTAGGTAGTTTGTCGCAATTTTAAAATAGTACAGGAAATGTTTCATATCAGCGAAATTCGAACACACGTAAAAGAGAATATTCCTTTATAAAAGACCAGCAACACACCTGCAATTCTTCTGATGTGCATATGGGCCGCGGTAATCATTTATCATCAGGTGAGCCGTATGCTCGTTTACCTCCTATGTTATAAAACATAACCTTTGGGGTTTAGAAAAATATAGATTTAGAATTACTCTGTATGTATGATTTATAGATACGCATGATATCGCACGCATGACGCATACAATATCATTAAAAATATCCTTTTATTGTATAATGCAATGTTTCTAATAACCGTACTATGTCGTCCTCGAATAAAATTACTAAGGAAAATCGATTATAACTACAAATTAATTAATTAGAACTCAATTTGCATATCTAATTAATTTTATACACAATTAGCTCGTGAAAGTTGTTCTCATTTCGATATTAACATTGTATAAAAGCGGCCGTGCGCTTATGGATATTGCACGCCGGCCATGGTATCTAATATTGTTGGTTTGGGCATTAATTAATTTTAAACTAGTCTTATATTTTAGGATAAACATGTAGGCGCGGTAATGTAAAAAAAAAAAAAAAACCAACTAGAATATTATAGGAGTGTGTTTGTTATATGTAGCAATATCTATTTATTTTAGTTACAATATAATAATAACTTTATTGCATAACCATGATTGTAATAAACTTAGCACTAATATCTATATAATATTAATCCAATAACGAATACGTTAAACCTCTATTATCCAATATTTAATGTGGAAATATTTATGTCTGTTATATTTATTTTACCATTAGCATTATCTGTGATCAAGTTATGTCTGTGTGGTCAAGTTATGTACATTATTCTATTCTGTTATTAATTGCTAGGCAAAAGTCTCCCCATCTCTTTTCAAGAGTTAAAGATATATATGTGATATATTCACTGACTAGGATAAAAAGTTTTTATGCTTTGCCATTCCATATAATGCAATGTATATACTAAATTTCATTGCGATTGGTTCAGCAGTTATGGGGCTAAGAAGTAACAAACTCACTTTCACATTTAAATAGATAGATACACTCTATTGGTCCCTTCATAAGATTATATTTATATTATTAGAAAGAATTGGATTTTAGCTTATAGCATTCTATACAGTTAAAATAAAGCTATTTACATTCCATATATTATAATCACATCTCACTTATTAAAATATGTCTAGCTCTTTAGATTATACGTTGCACCAAATATTCAGATATATTTTTTGTAATATTTAGAATGGCAAACAAGCGTACGAAAATACCGGAAAACATCACCCATCCTTTTTTTCACAGTCGTGTAATAATATACAAGCTTTAACGGCAACATTACACGGTTCCAAACTGATTGACTTTCAACTTTTTTTTTAAGGCAAAGAAGTAATTTTTTAAGAAGAAGAAGTGCAAAAAAGTGCTCTTTAACAATGATATTGAATGGTTCACTGTTATGTTTACATTATTCAATATAGTTGCTTCGTTCAAATTGAAAGGCAGAAGTGAACCGTGTAATATCGCTATAAGGGAAATAACTGTAATGTTGGAGTGGTGTTTTGAGACCATCACACTGTACTAAACGATATCACACTTATTGCAAAAATACCTTTTTTTTTATAAAGGGAGATGGGATCAATGACCTTTTACCTAGATTAGTACAGTGGTTTTTATTTTTTTTTAATTCAGTTTTACTTCTATGTTGTGATGGTCCCCCCCTTTGCACCCCTTATAATAACTACCCTCTAAACTAAGCTACACATGGAAAACCTACAAAGCCTAAGAAAAGCCTACGAAGGCTTTACCTAATGAAATCTATGAAAATATAATGAAAATCTACCCTAAAGAAAGGCCTAATACCCTCAATATAGCCCATACCTATATTACCTTATACACCCTAAACATCTTATGAATCTTAAAAAAAAACCTTACAATAAACACATAATATTGAACAGATCTTTAGTAGAACACTTGATCATCTGGCCAGATAAATAAATGTGTGATCGTCTAGTAATGTAGGACCCGTTGTGTGTGTAATAACCAAAAGGTTCTTTAATTGGTATATGATAGGAGTTAAATAATGAAGATAATTGATTAAGCTTTAAGGATTAAAAATAATTAATGAATTACACTCATTATTCGTGTAACTAGGAAGTTATGTTAATTTAATCGTAAATTACAGAATAACTGTAATAATAAAAAAATGGGGGAGCGGTCGGGCCCCTCACACGCCCGGACCAGTGGAAGACTTTCCAACTATCTATAACTCTTCCTCCAAAAAGGTAGGGAAGGGTATTACTATTTATTAATGCACTCTGATGGTAATAAGGGAATGAGTATTCTCAGTTCCAAACCAAACATAAGTACATTTACTTCAACATTACAGTGGCTCCACCAGCCCCACGATGCTTCCAGTATAAATTAGTGTTTGCCAGAGGCAAAAGGATCGGAACTGAAATCCCAGGATCACTCCGACACGAGAGCTTACTCATGGGCGATGACCCTTTCAGTCCTATATGGCGACATAGAGATCACCCACTAACAGTACGAAACTGTTTCCCAGCGTCACCCTGTTACGAGCTTACTCAATGGGGGTTTCCCTTCGGCTCCACAAGAGATCAGACCAAGAAGTGAGATCACCCAGACACCAGAACCTACTTTGTTGGGACATAACCCTTCGGCCCTATAATGTGACATTAGAGATCACCTGTGAAGACAGTCCGATAGAGATGAAGATTTGTGTGATAGGGGATACCTTCCACACCCTGGAATTGGCCAAGCCATATAATGTTGATAATTGCTATATCATAACATAGCATTGTCAATTTAATATTATTTACTTAATACCAAGAATACTCAAGGTTCAAGTTACATCTGTTGATTAGGCCAGAGCCTAAGAACGAGTAGTCCAACCCATAGGTCGAGAGCTACTAAAAGTAATGAGTGCTATTGAATGAACTATAAGTCCAGTCAATTATATATAATATTATTGTTGATTAACCACATTGTGAATTAACCAATTATTTATTCAGAGAGATATATCTAAAGGAACTATAAGTCCTTTAAAAGACACTGATTAATCACAAGTTAACAACGTCTCGTGAAATAACCAGTTGGGTTTTCTATAAGTTTGAAGACACTAAGTCCAACAAGCTATTATTGTGTTGAGAGTAATAGAGATCTTTTGTAATATTTATAGAGGTTTGATTAATCACATTGTGAAATAATCAGATTAAATAATTATGTAACTTTATAGAGAGGACTATAAGTCCTAATTGGTTGTTGTCATAAGTACTGATAAATTACACATTAAAGTGCCAGGTCAATTATTATATATAGGTATATAGGAAGGACAATAAGTCCTATTTGTGTATGTTGTAGTAGTAGAGGCAATATATTGCATAATTATAATGTGAAAGATATAGATTAAATATATATTTGTATAGAAAGGACAGTAAGTCCCATACAATTATTGTAGCTGTACTATAGTTATACTATATCTACTTCCTTTTAGTGTCTTAGTAAACCTATTTACTAAGAGGATTTCCCAGATAAACAAGTGTTTTAGTGTTTAAATCATCATGATTAAATCCCTAAGAAATTAGGTCTTTAAATAATTATCATATCATTTAAGTGAAATTTCTCATATAAATAATTCCAATATTTCCCCTACAGTTATTATAAAATAACTGAAAATTATATAAATTTTCTATAGACTTAGATATAGAATCATAACGTGTATATTCTCCTTTTGTTTGACATCTGTCACACTAATGACGTATTGAATGACGTATTGATGTATTGAATTGAATTTTGATTATCTATCACAACTGTCAACGTAACAAATACTAGCAAGTTTGTTTATTTGTATTTGTTTAATATAATTAAATATAAAATCATCATATATCAACCATAATATACAACTAAATTATCAGTGACATAAATAATCATGGTTTACACCAGAAATAATTAATAGTATCCAGTAATGCTGCAGTTTTATATTCATATCAATAGCCAAGCTTACTTTCAAATTCAAGAATGAACAGAAGATTAGAAGTTTAACATTCTTATTGCAATTGTACTTGCAATAATATATACATACAGTACTAATTATCAAGAACATTCCTCAAATACATGTGTGGTGAAGATTTTCCCAATATGCTATCTATTTGATTTCTAACCTCTAATGTAAATTTATTAAAGAAGTGAATAATCAGTGTTAGTGTTTGCTTTATTAATATTTAAAGTAATTGTCCTAACTTGATATTAATAGGATAATATCTCCTTGGACACAGTCCGACATAAACATATATCTCAATAATTAAATTTATAAAATACTAATATTATATTTTACTACTTGTATATCTCCATACTATTCCCATAAAATATTCAAAACATGTATATTAAATATAAATCCAGTAAATATTCACTAATAT